AACTTTTCAATAAATAGCACATTCCAGAGGGGCAGATGTGACTCTGTTAGCCAGCTCGACAAAGATACCGCAAAGCATTCAACAAAACCTCGTAGCAGGAAAACTGAGACGGCGGACATGGCGGCGATGCAAAGTGACAGCGGGTTGTATTGAATCGGCTCCTTGAACTATTTGCGGCATTGGAGGAAAAAACTAAAAAATAAATGCGCAAAGATGCCATCCAAAATTAAAAGGAGGGAAAATAAGGCCCCTGAAATAAATATTCTTCTTTTAACAGTTTCCTAGGAGAAAAAGAAAACTCACTACACCTACTGTTAAAAAATGGTATATTCCCGCGCCGTAAGAAAACAATTATCAAAAAAGACCTCCGGCAGACACGGCTATACCATCCTGTTGTTAGTGTCCGAGGAAAAGTGTCCGAGATTTTGTTTTTGCCGGCGACCCCTGTTGTTCTTCGGGCATTTCCTGAAGACAAAGAGAGCGAGAAAGTCGGTGTTACAATTTGTGTCCGTTACTAAAATCAGATTTATATGCTGTGATTGACTCAATCTCCCAATTTGGTGCTTTTTCTTTTAGATTTTAGATCGGCCATTGTACAGTATTGTGCAAAAGTCTTGAACCGCCACCTTTTTTTTTCTTTATATTTTCTTTCCAAGGAGTCAGACTCGTTAGTTAAAGTGGTCTTGGCCAAAAGTTCTCCAGGTTTTCTCTGCCTGACCATTTTCAGACAGAGGACGTGTTTTTCTTTCTTTTTGTTTGTCGAGCATAAAAAGGGCACAGATCTCAAGCACTGAACCAGCGTTGTGTCTAAAAATAACGGGCAAGTTTGCAAAGAACCATTTTTAAATTGTATCTTCGAGGCAGCGTTTCACAAAACCTCATAATGTGTTCCAGTTTATTTAGTTCAGTCCACAAAAATGTCACTGGCAACACATTTTGACAGATATAAAAGAGTATTTTTACACCAACAATGTGATTCCCAGGAGCTATTTGCTGAACACATATCTTGGCGTGGTGCGTTCTTAAGTGGAAGAATAAAAAGTGACCAGTGAAAAGGAATTATTATTATTATTATTATTCAAGACATGGACTGAAAATCAGTGACCACAGGTCTCATGACGGGACGAATGTTCAGTTCAGGTTCGGTGAGGGGAGCCATCTGTAAAACATGGCGGAGGCTCTGTTGTGTTTGGAGCTGTACTTCATGCAGTCGTGTTGGAGATCGTCACAACTGATGGTGTATTAATGCAGAAAGTTACCACCAGGCTTTTCATTAGCATGTAATGATCCCAATGATCCACACTGCCACTGCAGGAAAACCAACCAGCTCAACATTGTACAAACTCTGTTTTTGCCTTATTTACTGAGACTTCATGTTTCAGTCAACTCGCTGCATCTATTTTTCTAGTAAAGTATAAAATAATTAACACAGTACTGCTGCTATTACAGTGTTGAGGCTGCTGTGAAAGAAATGTCGCTCTTTTGATAAATACTGTAAGGACACAAAAGCTTTGTATCAAGCAGAAATGCTAAAGACTAAAATCAGTTCTTTGTAAGTATTTTAATGAGA